GGTGAGAAAGATGAGACGGACGAAATGAAGACAGAAGAGAATGAAAGATTATCTGTGGAATATTACTGCCTCAGCATTTGCGTAGGTGATCCAAGGAAACCACAGAAAAACTTGGACCAAGGCAGACGGACCTAGAATCGAACCGGCGTCCTCCCGAATGCTAAGCAATAGTCTAAACCTGTAGGCCATGCCGCTCGGTTAAAACTAGATCAATCCACATCCCTAACTATTTGCGAACAGTAATCTAATCTAGGTCTACCTCTACCCCTCCTAACTTCCGTTTCTGCCTCTAATATGTCTCTAACTAGATCTTCATGCCTGAGAAGTTGTCCTACTATCCTATCTATTTCTTATTGACTACCATAAAATCCTCTGTTCTCCTATTCGAAGATAGCAAAAAGGCGAAACGTCGGTACTAGATTAATAAATCAACTATTTTTTCCCCATCCTGGTTTTGATAAGGAGATGAAATAGAAACTGAATTTAAAGTCAAGTAAAAATTGTAACAAAAAAAAATAATTTCAAGTAGTTGCCTAAAATTAAAAAGAAGCCCTGTCATAAAGGGAATTGGAATCATACAAGTACATCGCATATTTTTTCGATAAAATCAGTGAAACAATAATTTCAATGTTCGTTTTGTTGGCATTCGTCCATTACAATATTTGTAGTATTCATGCAGTTGTTCGACTCATCAAAACTGTTAGGAATGCCGGATGAGTATTTTGTTGTTTTCTACGCCCATGTTGGCCATTGTCCATTCAGTAATTTTTCTTATACATAGGCACATACGTGACGAGTTGTTATTTCAAAAAGAATCTGATGTGCATATTTAAACGCCTTATACAGTTAAAAACTGCACAACAGTACAATAAACAATGGATTCCGCGAAGCTAATTGTACAGTGTTTTTCAAAGAAAATCAACAGTTAACCTGACGCTCCATTAAATTGTGGATAGTGCACCATACTGGCCTATAAATATAGAACATTCAAAGAAACAAACAATAGATCGATTTTTTCTGTGTATGATTAAAATTTTATGTCTTAGTATATTGGTTTTATTATATGAACATTGTATCATTATCAGTGAAGTTGGCGCATGAAAGTTCAGGTCAACGAAAGCAAATATTTATTAGCCAGGTATTAAAAAAGAAGAAAACAAAAGGAGAACCATTTGCTACGTAATATGCGATGTGGAGTCCAAATCAGCATGTCAAAGTTTTTAGAAGTCTCAATTTCAAAACTAAAAAAAAACTACATGAAATAAAAGGACAAACAAGAGAGTACTCATTTTCGAGGTCTCCGGTAGGTGAATTAGGAATTGCTCATAATTTTTAAACATTTTACATCGAATGCCGTTAATTTGACTTGTTTCAACTCAAGAGAGCTCCTCTTCGTCGGAAACTACGTTGAAAACAGTATCTCCGGTCTTAGTTCCCTGATCTATTGTGTCTTGTGAAATAATACAATTTCATGAGAGCATGGAAGTCAATTTTTTGAATTAACTTTACATAAATTCTCAAATTAATAAGAAAAAATTGTGGCTTCTGTCACTCCCTTGCCAGGAATGGAACTGGTACGTAAAACCAGGGGCCCCACGAACTTCTTTGCTTGAAATTACTATAGCCAAGCCTTGAGTAAAAGAATCCATGACATAAATCAAAGTGAAACACTACACAACTCTTCTTTATTCTCAAATCAAATTTTAACAGAACGTTTAAATTTTGAAGCAATAGGTTTTTAATTGATTATATTGATGTTTTTGATTTTTCGTTTAATCTAAAAACCGATAATTTTGTTGTTTCAGGAGTTATTCTCTCAGCTTCAATTTTCGAATGAAACGGCGCTGCCGCCGGATTCTCTCCGCAGGGCTCTTGCCGAGAGTTTTTTCGACCAGCAACGTTTCCAATTGGGCTTCATGGACGATGCGGCAGAATGTTTCGAAAACATGCTTCTTCGCATCCATATGCATATAGCACATGGCGAGGCCGAGGACATGTGCAACGCGAAACACTGCATACCGCATCAGAAATTCGCCATGACTCTGGTCGAACAAAGCGTGTGCAATTCTTGTGGAGCCACCTCTGAACCACTACCCTTTACTCAGGTTAATATTTTTCATTTAATTCGTTTTTTTTTTAATTAAGAAGAAAAGAAAACTCCATTCAAATTGGAATCTTATAATGTACTTGAAAAGAAAGTCATAGGGAAGGTAAAAATGGGATTGCTTTAGTAACCTATGACCTGATAATAAAATAGTGGTTATGGGAAATAAAGATGGGGTAGAAAAAGCTTCCCGTGAAAGCGGGAAATCTTTTTTTTTTTGCTGTATTTATTATAGAGTTGGGAGGTGTGCAAGACAAGCGCAAACCCATGTAGGAAATCACGACAGGACCGAACTTGGACTAAGCTTGATCCAAGATTGTTCAATTCTGGTCTGAGATTGGCAACCAATATTGGACTAAGCATGGCAAATGTCTTGTTTGCCATTTCGGCCCAAGCCTGGTTAACAAGCTGGGTCCACAACTGGACAAGACTGGTTAGTCAGTATTGGGTTGACCTGATTAGTCCAAAATTGGACCAAGAATTGGGGAAATATATAACCCAAATTTGGGCAGGCAATACTATGTCATGGAAAAGACCGGTTAGTCAGTATTGGGTTGACTTGATTAGTCCAAAATTGGGCCAAGAACTGGGGAAATATATAACCCAAATTTGGGCAGGCAATACTATGCCAATACTTGATGAAGAACATTAATTCAAGATTGGGCAGCTAATATTATACTAAGACATAATGAGAAGCTTTTCCTGCTTCCTTTCTTCTTCCCCATTTCCTTCTTTATGCGTTAGTATGACACAGGTTACTCAGGTCAAACCCATGCTGTATTTCAGTTACCGTTTAATTCGATCAAATACTTTATCAGATTCTTTTGATATAGATATTAATAAACTACATCTATATGTAATTTATATACTAACCATTGCTCTTTACTCTTTAATTAGATGGTACATTATGTATCAGCGTCCGCATTGACCGCACAAGCAAGACAAGTTAACGTTGCCGGAGGATTCCTAAACGTTTCCGAATCTTTTGGACAACTTCTACGAAAAGCAGGAGGAATGGGAGATATTAGAGATTGTCCGGTAAGTTTTTTAAACGTCTTTGCCGATTACACAATGATCTTATTAAATGACGTTTACTACCGTATTATCGACGGAATTCTTAAACTGTTTCAACATTAAAATAATCGCGCCTTCCTAAAGTAGCATTATGTGTTTGATTCGAGGTATAATGCATACCACTTATTCCACATTTGGTTAAAATTGTACCACGCAAACGGTATGAAAATAAATAAGCAGTAGGTAAATAGCTCTCGGCATGATTACATAAGCATTATATGAAAAACATTGTTTGCTGCAAACAACATTCTCACGCACATGAACTATAATAACTGAGCAGTTACATACAGGAGCAAAAAGAGATTGGACTTAAGAGTCGTGAAAGAGAAAGTAATTCACATAAAGGATAGTGAGACATATTTTGCTCTAGGATGAATACTAATGTAACTGCTTTGTAGTAGAAGGTACATGAAATAACAAAAATTCATTGACAAATCGATCTGTCGATCGATCCAAAATCGCAATCTTAATTGATATAGTTGCTTAATAATTAGAAACTTAATAGAATTACGGTCAGTTTTGCTTGCGGTTTCTTAAGCAATGTTTTCTTCGAACTTGAACAAAAAGTTTCAAAAAAAATTTCTAGCAAATCGAATTAATTAAGATTCAGAAATGACCGTGTCTAAATCACCATTGACCAAAATATTTTCTTTTTCTCTATTACAGAGCTCTTGTGGGGCCCGAATCCAAATCAGGAGGACTCTCATGAATCGACCGGAAATTGTATCTGTTGGTGTCGTCTGGGATTCAGAAAGACCTACCCTCGAGTACATTACTGACGTTTTCGCCACTGTTGGCACGACCCTGCGCCTCAGTGAAGTTTTTCAAAGCGTCGTGGATAAAAGATGGGCAGAAACAACGTTACACAATCTAGTTGGCGTTGTCACATATTACGGAAAACATTATTCCACCTTCTTCTTCCATTCGAAACTTCGCGTATGGATTTACTTCGATGATGCAACTGTACGAGAAGTAGGCCCCAGGTGGCAACAGGTCGTGGAAAAATGTCGGCGAGGTCGCTATCAACCCCTCCTGTTGCTCTACGCTGTAGCCAGTGGAACACCGGTCAATACAGAAGATGCTCCCAAACACGTGATTCCTTATCGATGCGAACGAAATCCGAAGTCTCCAACGAAGAACTTCCTCAAACGGTCTGTGACGCCCAGTCCGGAGAAACCCAACGTGGGAAACACTCGAAGAGCCATCACACCCAATCCGGACATTGGTTTCGGTCAGAAGCAGCCATTAACGCGTTCCTACGACGACTATCAAAATCTGTCTGTGATCCAAGACAATATACGTGCCAGAGAAAACGTTCCGGACGTGGACGAAGTCGATGGTGACATTAAGCACGTCGATTATATCACCAGAAAAACCGTAGAGAGCATGCTCATGTCTCATCCGAATCAGAAACCGAGAATCAACGTTCACAGAACTTTAAGTAACGGATCATCGTCCGGAACTGATGGCATCTCACTTCCAGAACATTTGAATGTTCCACGAAGACGTGATTCAGGTAACTGGAGCGGTGATCGTAACAGTGCTTCTTCTTCGTCGTCAACCACGATGGAAAATCCGTACCTTTACTTGGTCGGAAAGATGCCCAACGGGAGTAATAGTGTTCCTGGAAGTCCTACTCGCGGAAAAGACAGCCCCGTAACCGGAGGAAGCATTTACGATGCTGGATATGATTCTTACTCGTTATCATCCAACGACAGCTCTGCTGTAAACCCAGCTGCCCATTCAGTAAAACAAGGCCATCTTGCAAAAATCCCCGAAGATTATATGAACGTCGCTACCGAAAAAGTTTCTACGAGTTGCGATATTCTTTGCTACGAAGCCGATGAACTCCTCAAGAAGTCGAGGCAGCTTGAGGAAGAACACGATCTTGTTCTCGCCCTAGCGCTTTGTAACGCTGCTGCTACGAAAGCGCGAGCTGCCATGAATGCACCTTACAATAATCCCCAAACTCTTATATTGGCAAGAATGAAACACAATACTTGCGTAATGCGGGCGAGAAGTCTTCACAGGCGAATGACTCACACTCCGGACAATGTAAGTCAGGGTCGCCACTCGAGGCAAAATTCTAGAGATAAAGGAAATCATTCGCGTCAAAACAGTAAGGAACTTTTAGTCCAATCTGCTCCAGAGAAGGTTGTAGAGCCGATCAAAAGTATCGAGATATACGCAACTCTACCCAAGAAGAAAGGTTTCCTTAAGAGCAAAGAGAAAACGATAGCAATAGAAGATGCTGAATATATCATCTGCGATAAGAAAAGTACTCGCGAGGCAAGAAGTTCTTCAAAATCAAAAAAAGAAGAGCTCAAGGTGCGTGACAAGCGATCCCGAAGTGAAGACAGAAGTAAAATCTCTAAAGATTTATCAATTGCACCTGCCCCAACAACAACAGTAACAACAACAAAGGATAATTCCAAGAAAGAGAAAAACAAGGAAGACAAGGAAGACAAAAAATCGAAAGAAGACAAAGATAAAGGGAAAAAGCAACACAAGATACGGAGAAAACTAATGGGAGGCCTTATAAGACGTAAAAACAGAAGTATGCCTGATCTTACGGATGGCAACATAGATAACCCTTCAAAGGATCCAAAATTAATGGTCACAGTCGATGACAGCAAAATTGGAATGGGAGATTCTGAGAAAAAGTCGAATATGTGCGGCTATCTCTCGGAAGGCCATCTAGAATTTACGGGAACCACCAGCACCAATCCTAATTTAGAAAGAAGCAAGCTCATGAGAAAGAGTTTCCATGGAAGTGCAGGTAAAGTACTGACTGCAGCTAAGGTACCTCCACCACCCCCACTTAGAACAACATCACAATTATCAGCCAACAAACATGACAGTAGCTACGAAGACTCGATCCAACACGACTTTTCTAAACAATACGAACAAAATCATTATCACAATAGTAGTAATCAGCATGGCTATGATGTTCCCGATTCAGGTCCTCTGAGAAATCCTCCTACATTCCTACCGTCTCAATCTTCATTGCCTTACTTGCCATCAAACAGTATTTGTCGTTCACTTTTGAGAAGCCAATATGGTCAAGATGACAGAGACTGGAATATTTCTTCAGATAACTCCTTTGAGCAAAACCCTGACGATAATCGTATTGTCACCACAGCCGTTGTCCATCAAGAGCAAAGTCCTATGCATCATGAAACTAGACATAATGCTCAGAGCATTGATGAAGTGGATAGTTGCGTGCACGACTCACTTCAAAATTTAGAGCTTCCTCCTTATCCTAGTCCCATAGGTTCAGTTAATCATTCGCGTCAAGCCAGTGAAGAATTCCCACCTCCGCCGTCTGGACTTGACCTCTCCGCTCTTGAAGAACATTTATTTTCAACCGCAAATAATATCGATTCACACAATTACTCAGAGTCTGCTGGTTTATTGGAGCAATTGAAGCAGAGAAAGCACGAAATCATGACGCAAGAAGAACACAAATATCTACAGGGAATGGAAAGAATGGGTGCGTCCAGCGATACTTGGCTGAAGGAACTTCAAGCTAAACAAGAAGCACTTAAAGCCAAGAAAATCGATGAAAAAAGCCAAAAAGATGGTTTCGGTGGGCACAGAAAATTATCTACGGATTCTATGAAAAGTGATAGTAGTAAAGTTACTTCTGTAAGAGATCTAGCATCGAAATTCGAAAATATTAACGTTCACCCCGGTATCAATAAACAAAATGAATGTGCTCAGAAAAGACCTAACGTTGGGCAAAGCGGTTTCGACTGTGGAAATTATTCGATCGACAAGAACTCAAACGTTCTTTACACACAAAGTTTAAGAGACTTATCCAATAGTCCTATTAGTATGGGTGTGCTGTCACTGAAAAAAAGAGACGAACTTGATGCTGTTCAAACTAATACGAATACTGACGAAGAAAAGTCAGCAACTATCGGGCCCAATCCAGAAATCCTACGGACTAGACCGCCACGAACCAAAAAGAAAAGTGTCTCATTTTGTGATCAAGTTATTCTTGTTGCAACGGCAGAAGAACAGGAAGACGACAGCTTTATTCCCAATCCAATATTGGAACGTGTTTTGAGAGCAGCTCTGAACAAAAACGAAGACAACGTATCTGAATCATCGTCTATCAATCAAGAACCACAACTTAAACCAATTTTTATTGAACAATCCATAACAATTAGAGATAGAGCTGGCTCCGTAGACAATTTGTTTTCTCATCAAAATAACGAACAATCGCCACAGAAAAGTGAAGATGTCGTAGATGCTTCTAATTTAAAGGTCAATTATTCCATTCAACATTCGGATAGGAATTATCGCCTTCCTAACGAGTTTAGCCAAATTCCCGACGCCCATAAGGAGCAACATAATTCAGTCCAAACTTTGCCCCCTTCCAGTTCGTACCCAGTTAACACTTACCCCAATCAACCTCAGATAAATTACGAACAACAGTCTAACATGATCCACAGAAGGAATTCAGATAGTCTTATCAGACAAGCAATTTCCGAAAGTCAAAATCAAATTTATTTTGCCAGACAATTATCTCATCCAGAAAACATTCCACAAAACCACAGTGTTGTAAGACATTCACCATCGGTGTATCAAATGCAAAATGGTTATCAAGGCTCTGGATCTCTACCAAAAAATCAACACTCTCCGTCTCCTACTCCTTCGGTTAATCATATTCAAACCAGCTCCAACAATCCGCAATACCATCATGGTTATAATACTCAGCAAGCAAGTCAACCAGATCAAAATAACATCTACCATTATCAGCACAATGGAAGTAGACCCCAACAAGCCATAGATCATCCGCAAAACTCTTATCATCCACAACACCAAAACGGGAACGTATATCAAAAGCAACAAATTACTTCCGATCAACAACAACAACACCAGTACTATTCCCAACAACAAAATGGGAATATCCATCCAAGGAACCAGATGCGTCCTGATCATTATTCCCAACAAAATGGAAATTTTCACCAACGAGTCCAGACACCAACTGATCAAATCCACTATCCCTATCATCCTCAGCAAAATGGTAACATTTACAATAGACAACCTAATGTTGATCAGTCGCAAATTGCAAATGTGAGCACGCAAAGGCATTCAGCCGACCACGTCCAAAATGTACACCAACAAAGTGGGAACGTGTACCAGCGACAACCATATCCTGCTGAACCAACTCAAAGTTTAAACGGAAGTGCTGCTCATCATCAACAGCAGTACAATGTTTATCAAAGAGTTCCTCAGCCATTTTCAGATTATCCGTATAATCACGAAAGACCTCAAAATCCTGTTTACTACAGAATGCCTACTCCTGACCAACATAAGTCCGCAACGCAAGATATTTCTACCCAAAATCACAAAAATGCTCTCTATCAGAGTGTTTCACGTCCAGAGAGTAACGTTTCCTCGAACTACGGTCATCATCAAGGAAACAACGGTTATGGTGAAGACCATACCGGGAATTCACAGCATCAAAATGGATACTCGCCTCCTCAAAACCAATATTCACCTTATCAAATGCCTCCAGTAAAGTATGTGGCGTATTCACAAGGTTTGCCAGCCCGACAACAATTGAAGAAGACTGTAAGTTTTGGGGATACTCCAAAATGTGGGAACGAATCGCCGACACCAAAAGCTGTGGTCACACCTATAATCGTTAATCCCCAAATGAATAATAAAGGTGCTACAAACGGTAAAATAAAGTGCAACTTATGCAGAAAGAAACTTGTTTCTGTGCCGAGTATGTATTGTACGGATTGTGAGTTTTACATGTCCAGATTTAAACCGAAGACGTAGTAGTTTGGTGACGTTATCGAAGTTTCGCGCTAGTGTTTTAAGTAAGAATCGGCCTTTTCTCAATTGTGATATATAAAGAAAATGTTCAAATTTTATTTATGTACAATTGTTTCTAAAGTAATCTAATTGCATAAGATCTCATTGTTTAGTTTGATAAGATTACTATATTATGTTTTAGTTTTAATTTTTATAATTTTATATGATGATTATACAAAATTAAAAAACAGACAAAAAAGAAATAAAAGTTATAAGTTTTGCATTTCTTGTTTCTCTCTCTTCTAAAAGATCAATGAATAATATAACTAAAATTCGTATTGGAAACAAAAACATCATCAACATCATAACGTTTCTTAGAATGTTTTAATTTTGCTTTCATAATACAGGTGGTAATGTCAACACCAAAGTTATGTATCAGATTTCCTGATTTTCCTTTTTCACTTTGTCCAAAACGGAATTAACTCCTGCTCGACAACTTTTTTTTTGATTTTCAAAAATTGCATTTCTGAATGAAAACCAGTAGAGAGGCAATGTTAAAATTTGGTCTAAAAGTTTAATAAATTCCGATGATATTGGTGATCATTTTCTCAGACCACTGATAAATTAGTCGTTACTAAAGTCCTACAAAGTCAAAATAATTTTGAATTTTTAGTTCCAAGTCGGAATTAACTCCTGCTCGACAACTTTTTTTTTGATTTTCAAAAATTGCATTTCTGAATGAAAACCAGTAGAGAGGCAATGTTAAAATTTGGTCTAAAAGTTTAATAAATTCCGATGATATTGGTGATCATTTTCTCAGACCACTGATAAATTAGTCGTNCCAATATATATATATATATATATTCGAGGAACACAGGCCCCTCTTTTCCATTGGGCACTCTGGGCAAGTGCCCACGGCCCCATGATCAACGGAGGCCCCCTATGTAGTTCCTGCCAGATCCATCTGCCAACCGAAAGTGTTGCACAATCGCTTTTGCATGCTATAAACGCGAACATACCTAAATGTAGGTGATTCTTCAAATATTTATATATTCTCAAATTTTATACTTCTCATCGCTCTCCAAAGAGAAAAATACAAAATGTGACTGCAAGGACTTGTCTCAAAGAATAAGACCAGACATTTTTTGATGACTGCACCGATAGTCCAACTGAGTTGGGAAGAGATATTAAAGTAGAAATACTTACTTCCCATAAGTGATATCCCAAGCGTACATCTAAAACAGTGATTGAGTTTGTACAAGGACATTGGTTGTTGTTGACATTGTTTTTCGCTTGAAAACTCCAAATCCCGAGACAAAGTTGCAAAGAATTTGCTGCTATGAAGATGTTAACGAGAAAGAGTTAAAAATAGAATGTCTGTATTTGGCAAAATACTTGAAAGAAAATGAAGAAACTAATAGTATTCCAGAAATTTTTATAAAAAACCGAGTTGGAGACACATTTCCAAATGTAGAAATTGCATTGAGAATCTTTTTAAACATGATGGTAACTAACTGTAGTGGCGAACGCTCCTTCTTTAAACGGAAAAGATTAAAAAATAAGTTAAGACGAACAATGCTTCAAGAAAGATTGATCAGTCCATAGAACGCTCAAAGACAAAGAGTTTGAAAAACTGGTTGACGATTTTGCATATCTGAAAACCAGAAGGGTGCCTTTTCAAAAAACACAATTTTAAGTACCAATCTGAGAATGATATTAGAGTTACTTTTTCGAGTCATACTACAATTATCTATTCATTTATTGTGAATGTAAAGAAACAAGTAATTGTTGATAAACCAAAATAGTTCTCTCTCAAAGCTGTAGGGGTCCCGTTAGGCTTATGTGTCCAGGACTTCCGATAGGTTAAAGACGGCCCTGGCGGAATAATCACAAGATGAACAAAAAATTTTTTTAGCAAACTTTTATGTGGGTCATTTTCATACCCCTATCGACCTTGTTGTTTGTCCTTTTTTACCTACTGAATATATTCAAAAGATTTCTGTAATATTTTCAATTTGAGTTTCATTATATTCCCGCTAGGAGTCGACAGCAATCCCGAAAAGTGGTCGGAACGCGAAACATTAACGACGGAATTCTCTCTCCACATCTGTCATTACTGTCAGAGTACGAGCAGTTCCATCAGTAATGGCGTGGTGCTCGTAGCGCTTCGGTGTTCAGTTTATGTGTTACGTGCATTAGTAAATTCACTAAATGAATAGTAACATTTAGTGTAATAATGAGTGCAAGTGGCGGTATATTGCCTACATACAGTAGGTACGTGAACGGAGCCCCGATATCCTTCACAAGGCGATCCTTCAGGGCTCGCGAACGAACGGTCTTGTTTTTAGTACTATTAACATTCGGACTGGTCTGTTTTGGGACATTCTTCTTCCTTCCAGAATACCGTGCCACCCAAGGTAGGGACAGTGTTTACAAAGTATACGATCAAATAAAGAGAGCAGGTCCGGACTTGTTAATTCCACCTCCTCCGCACCTGGACGACGAAAAGGGTGCCCTAAGGGTCCTGAGGCATAACGATGCCAGCCAGGAGGATCCTCACGTGCTCGACGACAGAGCCAAGCTCAAGGCAAAGATTGAACAGGACGAACAGTTCAAAGTCCTGGAAAAACCAGACACCAGCGCAAATGATAGGAAATCATCGTCGTCCACGTCTCGATCAAACGGTGTCCATCAGCAGCAGATCGGACAACCAGACGGAAGTGCCGTGAATGCCGTTTCAGAACAAAAAATTGTGACAGTGCCAGCTGCTCTTAGGGACCATTATCCAGTCATAACAGGTGGAGAACCAGCAGATCAAGAAACAAGGGAAAGGAGGGACACGATTAAACAGGTAAGCAAAAGTAAATACTTAACATAACAGAAGAGGCTTACGTCAAAGGAATACCAGATTTCTCCATGGAAACTATTAGTGTCTGATTGTGAGAGCAATGTCAATGGCAAGAGACAGACAGCTCTATCGTTTATTCAAATGTTCGCACTTATCGCTCTGTTGAATGATAAAATGATACGTATATAATATACTCTCATACATATGCATGCGAGCATTTTAAACTTTACTACCAACGGTGAATGTCCTACTTTTTACTAATTGTAAGTACAGTTAGGTAGGTATCTATCTGCATCATTCACGTGAAATTTCATTTAGGATCAGAGAATTGGAACAAATCGGAAACCAAATAAAATGGTTAAAACCGTTTTGATATTGCAGCCACAAAACATTATCAATTCGTGTCTAGGTTAAACCAACAACTAACAAACCACTTTGACTTGAAGTCAGAACTCAAAAGAAATTGAACCTTTAAACAGTGGCAGAAATGCATTGTACTTATTCATAAAGTAGAAGTTCTTGTAACTAATTAAAGAGCTAGTACATACAATAAACGTCACCACTTAAGAAATATTAAGTAGGATGTTATAACAAGAATTATATATCAAGGGGCGTCGTTACGTTTCTTCCGAGTCCTGCTCAGACTGACTGAAACTGAAAGCTCTCTCGAAGATGATGTACCGAAGACCCGTTCACAGACAGACATACACATTTGCATCGAATTCTTTTCTATAAAATACTACAATCTAAAGTTCTTAAGTTTGATCAGAACTTATTTGTGTGGATGCAGCAAAGAACCTTGGATTGAAGGCCACACTAGTCAATATAATATTGGTGTTCCTCAAGGTATCATACTAGGTCCACTACTGTTCAATATCTATATAAATGAAAACAGGCTCTGCAAGCTAAAACATCTTGAGCGTATGAGATTGTATTATCACCTTCTATCTATAGATATACACATGAAAAAATAATTATGATTTCTGAGGTATGGAAATATACATCTAGTCGTAATGAGCCCTGGATTATGCTATAGCTACTACATAATGAAGCCTTTAGAAATATCACCTCTGCACAATATAAATGTTGTTAAGATTGAGTCTGACATTACCTATTTACAAACGCAAACGCTTGTATCTTTTTTTATATTCAGGAAAGTTTCTTCTTCTTGTTAATAACTTTACCCTCTTGGACCTAAGCATTAGGACGAAGTTCGCAACTCAATTTAAGTATACATATTTTACAAGTAATACATAAACAAGTATGAATTTCTGATGAAAACAGCTACTAATTATAGAAGTTTCATCTAAAGAAATATGTACTTTGTTTTGAAACTTATTGTTGTGTCAGCTGATAAATTATGAGTATGATGAATGAGAAGATATTTATTATTACAGTTAAAAATTGGATGACTGTAATATTATTATTATTACGAAACTTTATGCAATAATGGTTTATATAAATATACATATGCGTACATAACTATGTGCTGTATTATTTTTAATCCATCTCCTCGTTATTTTGATCTAACGATAAAAGAAAAAAGTAAATTTGAGTAAACCCCAATTGATTCTAAATTTTTGATGTTTGAGATTAGGACAATTGGTAAAAATTATAATTAGAGAGCGAGCGTCTTTCGCAAAAATAAACTTGGTACTTAGGCTAAAGATCAAAATTTTATGGAGAAAAACTATGAAATTAACTAAGAACGCATGTGGTCCTAAACATGAAGGCAACTACAAAGCGTATTCGCGAGACCGAACGCAATGCGGTACACGTAACATGTCGCGCACATTTCTTTGCACCTCAGGTTCCACAAGCGTCCTAATTACGCCTCCGATGACGTCATGGGCGAACGATGTCATGATATTTTTTATTAGATAACATTTGTTAAGTATCGGACATTTTAAATATGTCGGATGTTAATCTTGTAAAAATTGTCAAAACTTTAGTAACGGTGTATAACTTGGACGATATAGTACATTACGTATCGAGGGATGAAACAGGGTTATTTCAGACTGCATGTGAATTGTGAACCATGCAGTCTGAGACAACTCTGTTTCTTTCCGAGGTACGTATACTATTTTTTGTCATGTTTGTGCGGAAAGCTCGTCATTAAATTGATAGTTGGTGAAATAAGAGTAAATGATTTAGAGGTTAGAAAGACATTGTCATTGAACAACTGATTTCTGCGCATGCCCATAAACTTCAGCGCATGCGCTCAAAAGACTAATTTCATNTATGGAGAAAAACTATGAAATTAACTAAGAACGCATGTGGTCTTAACATGAAGGCAACTACAAAGCGTATTCGCGAGACCGAACGCAATGCGGTACACGTAACATGTCGCGCACATTTCTTTGCACCTCAGGTTCCACAAGCGTCCTAATTACGCCTCCGATAATGACGTCATGGGCGAACGATGTCATGATATTTTTTATTAGATAACATTTGTTAAGTATCGGACATTTTAAATATGTCGGGTGTTAATCTTGTAAAAATTGTCGAAACTTTAGTAACGGTGTATAACTGGACGATATAGTACATTACGTATCGAGGGATGAAACAGGGTTATTTCAGACTGCATGTGAATTGTCAACCATGCAGTCTGAGACAACCCTGTTTCTTTCCGAGGTACGTATACTATTTTTTGTCATGTTTGCGCGGAAAGCTCGTCATTAAATTGATAGTTGGTGAAATAAGAGTAAATCATTTAGAGGTTAGAAAGACATTGTCATTGAACAAATGATTTCTGCGCATGCCCATAAACTTCAGCGCATGCGCTTAAAAGACTAATTTCATTGCCTCCCGACTAAAACGCGGCCGAAAAGAGGCCATTTCTTACCTATTTCATAGCACGCAAAACGAGCTTTCCGCGCTAACATGACAAAATAAATATTTCATGTACAATATGGAAATGAGCTGAGTCAGGTGAATGATGAAGACACCGTGGATAGAGAAGATTAGAAATGAAGAGGTATTAGAAAGAATGGAAACAGAGGACTCTATGGAAGTTGATAAGAAATAGGCGAGATAAGTTGGTAAGACACCTTCTCAGGCATGAAGGGCTAGTCAGAGACATATTAGAAGTAGAAACAGGAGTTGAAATGAGTAGAGGTAGACCTAAATTAGATTATTGTTCACAAATAGTTAAGGATGCCAGATGTTCTAGTTAAAGACAGGAAAAGGTGGAGGAGCGTTTCCAACTAGTTTTAGGACTGAAGACCTTCTGATGATGAATATCAACGGATGCAAAAAAACTGACAAAGCTCTGAAGAAGGTACAGAATTGCAAGCACATTTCCCGTTGCATAGTAAGCATATACGGGAATACAAAGGCCTACCGTGGACGTCTTCAACGATAGTGTAACACAATTCCTTTATTAATACCGTGCATAAAGCAAAAGATGGTTCAATAGAAGGTTTAATGAACCCGCGATTTTCGCAAGACTTAAAGTTTAAACTCTCGAAAACATTCCACTTTGAACGTTTACCCTCCTGCTCAATACACATTGTATGTAACATGAGCACCCTTTTTTTGCTATTTGCTTTTAGCTTCGGTGTCATGAAAGTTGAGAGTGTATTTCAATGCATGGCACCTGAACCATAGACTACGGAATAGTATATAAAGTGTGATTATAAACGAGGGGGCTGAAGGCTCTCGTCAGGAGACGGATGATGCTTTTTATTATAACACTCATTACGTTATTGCTCCTATCAGTGTTCTATTGCAACAAAGTATAGGAGAACAAAGGTCAGTGTGGAAATCAATAAGGAATAGGCGAGCTATAGTTGGACAGTTCAAAATTGGTATAGTCTGCAGTTAAACTGTCGCATTTACGTCTTTCTTGCAATTTACTAACTAGACTGGAGCGATTGCTGACAGAATGCCTACTTTTACTCACGACAGACGTTGTAGGAATGCACATGAGATTGTTTAGACCATTGCTTAGCATTCGGGAGGACGCCGGTTCGATTCCGGGCCGTCTGCCTTGGTTCAAGTTTTTCTGTGGTTTCCTTGTTTCACTTAGGCAAATGCTGAGGCAGTAATATTCCACAGATAATCTTTCATTCTCTTCTGTCTTCATTTCGTCCGTCTCAACTTTCTCACCCGAACCACCACCCACCCATTCCCACGATTCCTGAAAGCAAGCTGAAGAGGGCCTTCCGCCCTACCTTCCGGCGTAGTCCGGAGGGACTGCCCGCCCACCAGCATTACTGGCTGGTGGGAATGAAACACCCAAAAAGAAAGAAAAGGATGTCAGATACGAATTGCAGCGGACATTAATAAAGAAAAATTAATAGCATTACACCAATTGATGTGTAACAGAAAGAGATGCAGACAACCGGAATTTGAGAATGTTGCCAGCATCGGACTTTAAAAAAAGTTCAACATTCTCAGGAAATTAGAAAAGCAGGGACGCTTATTTAAAGATATTATTCCAATGAGGCAGTTATAAAGTCGACCCTGATCTTTTACGTATACCTAAGCAACCTCTAACCGCTGGTTCGCTTACTATAATTCTTTTCACTTTGTCAGCACTACTCATGAAGCATTTCATAATTTAACAAGGGCGTGTTCAAAACGCAGCAAATGGAAGTAGAAACAAGAAAGACATACGTCCATCCTCACAGATAATTTTTTGCGGACTTTGCCAATTTTGATCTTCCGAACTATACTTTACGAGGTACAAAGGGATAGTAGAGATATTAGAAGCACAGAAAAAAAGTTAAGAGGAGTAGAGGTAGACCTGGATAAGATTACTATTCTATGGTGTTCTAGTTTGCGCGAATTAGCTTACGATAGCAAAGAGCGAAGGTGCGTGTCCAACAAGTCTAAAGATTGACGACGATGGTGATGATAATTTGTTGACGAGAAGGAAGTTCACTTTTGACGTATACCCCCCGCCAGGTACAGTGATTCAATCAGACCATAATGCTATTAACGAAGCTTATTTAGATACTACAAATTCCAATTAATAAATTGCAAAGAATGCCACACTT